CAACGATGTTCTTGCATCCCCTCGCAACGGGCATGTGCGGCGCATGCGCCAAGACCGTCTCGTGTTCTAACCGAACGGTTCGCGGTTACGTTACTGGCTGCCCCCCCGACGCAGTGGACGGCTCCGAGAGACACCCAAAGGGCCCAGTGTTCGTCGAAACACAGAAGCAGGGCGTGGGTTGTGGTTGGTTTGCACGAGGTTGGCCGTCGTTTCGCGGGCTTTGAGAAGTGCGTCGGAGTCAGCCTCAAAGCCGGGAGTGTCTTCGATTGAGACGCCCATCGCCCGACGTCAATCTATCGATGCTGCCCGTCTGCCTTCTGCTGCCAATGCCGTGATGCCAGCACATGGCTGCGTCGACGCATCTAACACACACCGGTTGACTCTCGATTCGGTGGGGAATGCTTTACCGATACCCAGCCCAGGCGCCCATCCAGCCCGGCGGATGCGGAGTGCGGGTTCGGATGCGATGCGATAGGGGACTCCTCTCCGGGGGGCTCACAATCGGGGCATCACGATCACGCAGAGACGGTCATTGAATGAGGTGATTGAGGCCATTCTTGGGTCGACCCGCATGCTGTCAAAGTCAACAGACGACGCTGCTGGCTCGCAAAATATGGAATTATCCACCATCCCTGACATTGTCACGCTGGCTCAACGACCAGATTCACCGTACATTTGTCCGCCCTTGTCTCTCGGCCGATTTTTTTTTTCAATCGATTCATCAGCACCGAGCAGGCATTAGAGGCTAGGTTCTAGGCCCCTTGCCAACCGAAGCGAGAGGGCGTAGGCTGCAACCAGCCTCCGGCAACTCGCCGGATTGCTGGGGGTGGGAATGTGAGCGATCTCGATGTACCAAACACCCATGACACGGACGATTGCTGTCAGCACGCACCACGCCTGCGGATGGACATATTCATCATTCACAAAGCAGTCATTCTCAAAATTCTATCGTCCCCTTTCCGGCCGCCCGTCCCGATGCTGAAACGCGGACTGGACAAGAATGGATTGCAACTCTGATCTCTGCTCTACAATGACGATGCAATGGACCCATTTTCAGCTGCGTGACCGACCTCGCGGGCTGTCAGGACAAAGTCTAATGTCTACGCCGCACGCCGTGCAACAGGCAGGGGGGGACGGGAGATAGGATGGGCAGGGAATGCCGCGATGGCTGATTCTAAATTCTTCAGAAAAACAGGCCACGCTCGCGGCAGACATAGACAGCAATCGGCATGGGCAAAAGGGCAAAGTTGGGTAAAATGCGCTTCCAGCAGCCAACCGAGGGACTTGGGGGGCTGCAGGGGTCTGTCCAAATCGAGATTGTGGGAAAGCCGTTGCGTCGATCGCCGTGATCGCGGAGCCAAACGCAAATCTGAGCATCGAGGCATCGGATTTCGCTCCGACTCATCACCCACCTCTCTGTTACTGGTGCCCAACACCCACACCGCGTTCGGCGGTCCCCCGTGGGCCACAGGCGCACTCACTCTGCAACAGCTCCAGCAACCATCAGGCCGGCAGCAGAGAATGCTACCGAGACACGATCCAAGCCACGAACTGGCCCTGACATGAGCTTAACACGAGGCCGCCTTCCACCATCCCCGATCGCTGAGACCTCACACCACATCACAGCGATGAGCTGTTAGGCTGCCGTTATGGAACCTTTCAAACGCCGCTTCCATCCAGGCATGACGCTCGTGGCCATCATTGCTCACCCCGCAGTCCCCTCTCCGGCTCTCCCACGCCATCAACGGCAAACCCCTTGCAGAGCATGCAAAAGTGGATGGAGAGCTGGGCGAACCGTCGACATGGGACCCGTCAGGACACCACCGTTGATGTAATGCCCATCGCTCATCGAACAGCTTGTCCCCCCTCTCGGATTGGATGAATAGACTCTGCTCTGAGTGGCACCCTGCCCGGCGTCCCGCTCATTGGCCCCAAGTCGTGTATTTCTGCGAAGAAGCTAGGGCGAAGGAGGTTCCTATTAGCCGTCGGACGCTCTTTACCGATCAGCGGGAGACGCAAAGGCAGACGCAGACCCTTACCGCTGGGCCTCCCGTTTACTATCCCCACTCCCACCCTCCCCGATCACTGAGTCTACTGCATCGACTCGCGATCAGCCCAACGACATGAACGATCGCTCCGCTTCCCATGGAACAACGGTATCTTCATTCCCACACCACCAGTAACCGAATTACCACAAGTACCCGTCTCCTGCCTGGTGCTCCTCTGTCACACAACCGCACACGCCCGCCTCTTGACGTTCTGTAGTCAGCCATCATACTCCGTGTTGGCTCTTTCATCCTGCACCGTTGCAATCCTCATAACGACCTGTCACCTTTTCCAGTTCTTTTGAGAATTCTATTGCTGGTCTTCCAACCAACAATATCCAGCTTCCTGCCGCCTTCCTGCCAACGCATCCAGCCGCATAATGCAAACCGCCTAATTACCCTTTCACTTCACATCATACTGCCTCGAGGCCCGGCTCCAGCAGCCCGACCCATTCGAGACCCCGGACAGTTCCATCGACTTTCACTACCTCATTGCCGCCTTATAATCACGAATCGTGCTGCCGACCTTCATCATGTCTCGCCAGGAGCTTCAATATCCCGCCGCCTACATCCAAGCCGAAACAGAGCGAATTCTGTCATTTCGAGCGCACTACCAAAATCCAAGCACAATGAACCCGTGGGAATCCTGCGCGTTGCAGGTACGTGGATCGAGAATCTCGCCAAGCTTTCTTTACTAACTCGCATAGTATCAATTCTCCGAGGAGACGGAACAAAACTCCAAGGGCAAGACGACTTCAGGATGGAGACAACCCTCTGCCGCTGCCGACCCCGTCATGTACCCCGGCCTCTACGCTCCTAGTGGGTTCGACATGATGAGCATTCTCGTGAGTTTACTCTATTTTTACGCGAGTACCACATCTAACAGTACCAGCTTCGCGTTGCCGGCAGACCCAACCCACAAGTGCAACTCGGTGCCATCGACTGTTCCGTCGCCCTGCTTCTCTGCGACCTGGAGCAACCCGACTGCCCCATCGTATACGCTTCCGAGCACTTCAGCCTACTCACCGGCTACTCCAATAAGGAAATCATGGGCAAGAACTGCCGCTTTCTCCAAGCACCCGGCGGCAAGGTACGAAAGGAGTCTTCACGCAAGCACGTCGACAAGTCCACCATCAAGAAGATGAAGAAGGCTGTAGAGGCGAACACCGAGGTTCAGCTCGAGGTACTCAACTTCAAGAAGGACGGCACTCCGTTTGTCAACATCCTCACAATGATCCCCGTCCGATGGGATTCCCCCGGCTTCCGGTACTCTGTCGGCTTCCAGGTGGAGCGGGAGGACTGAACACTTTTCGATTCTCGTACACTTCCGACCGTCCGATCTGACTTGACCGGTCGTTCCTATTGTCCACAATTTTTAACGTCAACATACACGGCGACATTACGACATCTTACGAGCGCGGCATCTTGCTATTAGGCATTTACGATACCCAGACACGCATATGAGTTAGAGCTCATGCATCTCCCGGTTACGACAACTTTTGATTTTTTTTGCTATTCGGCGTCACAAGGAGCGACACACAAAAAAGCGATGCATGGATATCGGATCACTATTAGGTGTTAAGGATATCATCCCCCCCCCGCCTCACTGGAGGTTCATGGGTGGCAGCGTTTTGTTTTACAGACACAAACTCGCAAAGCAAGCATTTGGGAATGGCGTTTGCAATCCCAGTCGGCATCGGCCTTGACTGGGGTAGGTGTTGGACAGGCATTTTGACGAACTAGCCATGATATTTTGATCATGACGACATGGGATACATAGCACAAAGGCCCAGGCCGTCCACGAATGAACAAGTATTATTTGAGCAGAGATCTGTGCAGCTGCATTGTGCCCTCGGACGCACCGAAACAATAGCTTTCTGCGTTGACAACTAGTTCAGCTGGTTAAGCTCCGCCCCCATGTGTTCTTCTAACCCCTCCTCTGACGGATTGTTCGCGTCATAAAATACCTGCAAGCAAGCTACGTCCGCCAAACCAGCGCTAGCCAAGCAATAGCCGCAACAAGCTTGACAGTCTCATCGCAACCCCGAGGTGCATCTCCCGAGAAGTGACAAAGAATGACTTTCAACTCATCTAGTCCTAAACCATAGCAGTGTCTCACATGGAGGCGTTCTGTATTACCTAAGCCTACGACATCTCATCCCATATGATTGGCCGCGAAACTGTATATTCGGAAGTCCGATGGCTTCTGAACGTCAGCTTCCATTGCGGACGTTAATCCATACATCTCATTAATCAAGAATTGTAAGATCCTGAGTAAATCAAGCAGACAAGATGCCTCTCCGCGGACCCGTGCCAGTTAGGTTGTGCAACAAAGAGAACACTGAAAAGCTCGTCCTGGGCCCGATGACCATCTACATCTACGAGGACGGCTCGAACACGGACAACCGCATCGGGTGCATGACGCTGGGACTGCCGCCTGGGACGTCTGGGCCACCGATGCACTGGCATCGATTCCACGATGAATGTTTCTTCGTGACCAAGGGTGGGTTGTCATTTGAGATGTTGGAGAGTGTACGCTCACGACTGGTCCAGGTACGATTCGCTTCAAGACGCCCGAGGGCGACCTCGACGCCAAGGAGGGAGAACTGATGGTCGTTCCGCCGAGAGCGATCCACACGTTTGCCAACCCGTCAGAGACGGAGCCTGCGGAGTTTTTCATGACCTCTACCCCTGGTTAGTTGCTTCCAGTTGTGATATGCTAGAGTGATGCTGACTGAGACAGGGTATTACATGGACTGTGAGTGAAGCGTCCCGGGAGACTGATGGGCAAGCTAACTTTACAGATTTCCGCATGATGGGCAAGTCCATTGAGGAGGGGAAGAAGTTGTCGCGGGAGAATACGGCGCACTTGATGGCACTGTTCGGGACGTTCCCGCCGGATGTGGAGTCGGAGTCGTGAGGAGTGTAACTTTAATCGATCGCCGGCTCGATAGTTCAATTCCTTAATCGTAGTGACCTTCTTCTGCCAGAATCAACGACCTCCTCCTCCTTTTTGGCCTGCGGGGCTTTGGGTTTTGCCTTGGCTGCTACACCCCGCTGTTTCTTGCTTGGAGCTTCAACAGCTGGCTCTGGAGACTCCTCCTTTACTTTTGCCTTGGAAGGCTTGGCTTTCTTACTCGGCTTCTCCTCAACCTCCTCCTCCTCCTCCTCCTCTTTTGCCGCCCTCTTTGCTGCCCTCTTCGCCTTCTTCGCCTCCTTTGCCGTGACTGCAACCCGGCCCGTCTTCTTCTGCCTTTCCGGCGCGTAACAGCTCGTTCTCCCGCCCACCGTGATGAAAGCCAGTTTCTCCCCATTCGGCAAGACACTGGATACCCCGTCACCCTTGCCCTTGCCCCAGCGATGGTTGAATAGCCAATCGTCAGGAAATTCGTCCGAGTCGCCTAGCTTATCGACGGCCGTCTGGCACACGTAGCGAATCTTCTCGTACAGCGTCCGGATCTCCTCTTCTCCAAAGTCGTCGCAGTACTGCTCTGGGTGCAGCTTCGCCTGGTACAGCACCTCATCGGCGACCCAGTTGCCGATGCCGCTGATGTTGGCCTGGTTCAGCAGCAGCGCCTTGACCGGGACGTGCCGGGACTGCATCATCTGCTTGAAGTAGTCCTCCGTGAAGACGTCGACGTCGACGACGGGGTCCGGGCCGTTCTCCTTGAGCGGGGAGTGGTTCCGGATCTCCGCGCCGGGGCAGTCGACGAGTCTGATGCGGCCGAAGCGGCGGGGGTCCGTGAAGGCGGCCCGGACTGTGGGGTCGCCCTCCGTTTCGATCCAGAACTTCCAGTATTTGGGGGGCCAGGTGTCCATTTCGCTCTTCTTCATCTTTTTGTAGTAGTTGGTGTAGGCGGTCTTGTCGCCCTTGATGTGGATCCATCCCGTCATTCCCAAGTGCATCACGGCGTGAGGTGGCCGGTCAAAGGTGATCCTGGACGGGTGAGCCAGAGGGCTTATCAGAGGTCAAGCGGGACCTACCAGAAATATTTTCCCTGGCTCCCAACAGACACAACCTTCTTGCCTTTGACGGCCTCTTCGAAAGCTAGGCCGCTCGTTCCGACCTTTCCAAACACATTGGCGTCACCGGGGGCGGAGACTCTAGCAATCTTCTTGCCCAAGAGGTGACGGCGCAAGAAGTGCACGCACCGAGCAACTGAGAGAGTCAGTCTACATTTATCGCGTTACATGCAAATCAAGCCTCACCTTCAGCGATTTCAGGCATTTTCAACACGCACACTCACTTCGGACACTGAGTACGGATACAGCTCATGACGCGACGACCTCAAAGGGCCCACCGGCGCGACAACCTCGCGTAGCACGTGACCTTCAACAGCTCAAGTGGGTCGTGGCCGACCGCGGGCGTCGGATTTTTCCAGCTCTTCCCCACATTGGGCGGCTCAATTTTTCGTCGACCTTTAAAAAAAAAAACCTGCGCTTCCTCCCAACCTCACGATCCTTCTTCACCAACAACAACACCTCCAACGGCTTCGCAGCCTTGCATGGTCCGGTAAGTCCACGCTCGCGCGCCCGTCGCGCTTTTTCCTTTGCCTCCCAATCTCTTCTGATGACACACCAAACACCGCAAACTAGAGTCTTTGACCACTGGAATGAAAACTCTGTTTTACACGTCAGTCTGATCGACCTTGACAATTTCACATTGCGTTTCGAGCTCAACACCTTGCAACGACACGACGCTGACTCGACGCAGGTTTTTGCAGATTCTTCTGACGCTGGACACATCATGGCTACGTTGCTGTTCTCACATGGCTGATTGCCAAGGTAAGCTTTTGCATTTTCTCCTTCCGCCTCCCTAAGAACCTGATGATTCATTTTTTCGTGCTTTGCACGGTTGGAATTACCGGCTGAAATCCATTGACGATAAAAACTGGCTGTTTCTGACTGTTCACCCCTACTGTCTCTTGTTTTGTGCCTCGCGTCGATCTTGACCAGTCGCTAACATGGACACCAGCTTCCTGACAAGGTACATACCAACCACATCCCCTTCCCTCATCATCGCATGATGAAACGGCACTGGGCTCCGAGAGTACCCAATGGGACTCGCTACATGAGCAGACAAGCCACTTTGCGGCAGGCCTAGAAAACCTCGCCCACTGATCCTCGATCCGCACACTCAACTTGTCGGGCCACGACTTTGCGCAGCAGAGGCTGACCAACAACAGAGCCAGAAGTGCTGAGTATCGCCTCTGACTCGAATTGCCGTTCCGGTGTTGTCATGGTAGGTCGCTTTTCGCTTCATCCCCCAGCCTTCGTGATGAGTTATTAGATGACGAGTCTGATTTGGGCATCTACCCAATGCGGATAACTTTTATACCTTTCCATTCATGCAACACTGAATTGGCTTCACAAAAACATTTGTTTATCAAGATGAGCATGAACATCGCTGACTTCCATATCAGACTTTTCAGACTACACCGGAACGAACACCAATGGGTACGTTCCATCACTCTTCACACCCAGCCTCCCGGGCTCCGTTCTCCTGATGAACGATAAACCAAAAGACAAGCATATGTCAGAGCCTCACGGCGAAGCTGAGAAACGTTGACTACCAGTCATTCTGATCAGACACTTCACATGCAACGCCTTTGGAAGTCTGGAGAATGCAGGTGGCTAACCGATCACCAGTGCAGTGATCTCTTGCATGTTCACATTCATGGGTATGACCACTCGGTAAGCATACTCTCTTAGAACCCACTCCCCAGCGTCTCATGTGATGATCATAAAATTTTCACGACGGTCTCCATAGCCATATGCTTTGATGATAGTGCCTTTGACAGGGCTCCCATACTGATATTTGACGATTCATTTTCTTGTTTTTGAAAGTCGTGGTTTGGAAACAATTGCTAACTGAAGTCGGTCAGGTCTTGACTCTCTTACGGGATCTTGTCTTTTCATTGTATGCGTCGCCCATGTGCGGCGCTATGAAGAAGAGCTGCGGTACTGAGGCCGTGTGATGGTTCGTCGTGCCTGAACTCTCTCTGTTGTCCCCATGAATTATGACGCCAAAGACAGATTGTTTTGAGTTACTATTAGCTATCATTAGGGGTATCATAAGCCATCAGCAACACTATGCGGGCACTACTACGTGCCTTTTTTCTATTTTATCCAAACCCAAACGCCGAACCGATGCCTTCCCATCCCTTCCAGACCCGTCATGTACAGAGTGAGTCAATGTTTTCTAAATGCTTCCCGTTCCGAGTAACACAGCGCCAGCAAAGAATGCCACCAAGGCAGCAAACGAGTCGCGCGGGTCGTGTATGGTACCGCTGCTCTTGGGCGTCGACGTGGCCGTGAACACGCCCGTCAGGACCGTCGTGGAAGACGAAGCGGCAGGCTGTGTCGACGTGGGCGCCTTCGTGGCCAGGGGCCAGTCGCTCTCCGCGCTGTAGAGCACGCCGTTGATGATGGTGCCCTCCCCCTCTCGCAGCATCTTCTTCTGGTCGCTGGAGCAGGAGGACTCCATGTAGCGGATCCAGCATGTCGGCTTCGGCGAGTCGGGCAGCTTGTCCGTGTGCGTAGCCTCAGAGTCTCCCGTGGTGTTGTAGGTGGTCAGGTTGACCTGGTCGCCCGTCGACACGGACGTGCCGAGGATGACGCGTGCAAACACCTGGAACGCCGTTTCCGGCTGGTATGCCGGGACAGAGTGGCCAGCCTGGTAGATGCGACTGAACGACAGGTTGCCAAACTGCCGAACAACACCGCCAATGTAGGAATCGTTGACGATGATGGGGGCGTAGCCAGCGGAACTGAACTTCTGCCCGTACGTGGTCCCGGCCTGCCAGGCGAGGTTGAGGGAAGCAGCCTGCCCGCCCAGCCAGTTGCAAATGTAGTCTCGGTCGCCGTAGATTAACGCAACGCGGATGCCTCGCTTCAGGAGATCAGCCAGCTTCGGGATCAGGGGACCTCTCATATAGTCGCCAGTATCACTAAAGCTGCTGTAGACCGCCTGGCTAGTCATGGTGAAGTTGACGACGGAGCCAATGGCTTGCTGGAACCCTGCCGTGTTCACGTACTCGAGGTATGTGCTCGGGGGGAAGGAGTCTGGGTTCTCGCGAGCAATGTCATACCAGCTTCTGCCCGCCTCCGCGTACGGCAGCATGACGTTCGTGAAGCAAGTACTATACGCGTTTGAACACAGGTCGTTCACCTCCCTCACTGCGCCAGTGTTGTTGGCATCGTAGACAGAGTTAGCCGTGCGGCACTGCCGGATGAGATCCAGGCAGCCACCGTTCGTATAGAGACTACCGTTGGCCAGGCTGGCACGGACGTCGTTCATAGCTTTGAAGCCGTACGTGTTGTTGATGGCCATTTGGGGGTAGTATTCTTGCTGGATCTGGTCGTCGATGCAGCCGTTGACGATGCCGAGAGACGTCAGGTGGATCTCGAGCGTCTTGTTAGCGGACAGCGTCCCGTTCGCGCGCTTGTCATTCTGTTCCTCCCAGACGTCTGAAAAGACCGGGCCGTACTTTCCACCGTAGCTTTCCGCGAAGAGGTTGATGCCGAGCGCGCTGTTGTTTGGCGGGTTGTACTGAGGGAAAGCGCCGAGGAAGCCCTGCAGCATATGCCATATCGCCATCGCGGCCGTCTCGGTGGTGTTTGCCGTGTTGTTCGTGTTCAGCGAGCTGAATGTGCCGTTGAGGAATGTCGCCGGGTTCTGTCCGCTCGGCACAGGCTGTGGCGGGGTGGACTGATTGGCAGTGAAGAGGTCCATCGAGCCATTGGTGGCGATGTCGTAGGAGAAGCCGACTTGGTTGGGCTGGGCGGTTAGCATGCGGGTGCGGACGACAGTATTTTGGGAGCTTACCTGGTCGATGAACAACATGTTGGAGGCGCGGTCCCAGCCCCATTCCCGCGCAATCGTGTCGTACTTGTCCAGGCCCTTCTCGACAACCTCGCAGGGTCCCACCTCCGTAAACATGCCGAACAGAGAGCTCACGCCGGGCCCCCCGTTGAGCCAAATCGTCATGATGTCAGTGGGCTCGCGGGCGCCGACGAACCAGAAGAACATGTTGGCCGGGAACGGCCCCGGGACGCTGACCCATCCTGTGTACTGCTGCTGATTCTCGTAGGCCGTTTTGCAGGCGCCCTTGGGAATCTTGTAGCTGACGGTGATGTTGCCGTCGACGGGCGAGGTGATGGTGGTAAGATTCACCGACGTGGACGGGAACTGGGCAGTCGCAAAGCCGCAGAGCAGCAGGCTGCCGACGGCGAGAGAACGGAAGAAGCGCATTGTGAGATGACCCGCATCGTGTCCTGGGCGCATAGTAGTCTCTACAGGATATCGTGGGCCGGCACGCGCACAGGAGGGGCGTAGAGATGTTTTGAATCGGCGCCGACAATGTTTTTTGTATTAGCTGAACCAGGAAGCGCGGAATGGAAACAGCTGCGACGACGGGAATGTCGAGGTTTTGAAGGTCCTCCCCCGTAGCGCCTTGGCAGACGTGCGCCCCTGCATTTAGCGGCCCTTTGTTGGTGTAACGGGCGCCCACAGTGCCCTACGGAGCCCCGGACACCCAAATTAGCAGCCCACCTCGCCCGACCTCAACCTTCGGGGATACAGGCTGACACGCGGCCCGCGGGGAGTTTTAACGGATCGACAGTGTTGGCAGGGGCTGTGTTCTTGGACTGGATGTGTTCTGGGGGAGTCGCTGAGGTGAGCAGGAACCTGAGTCGTCGCCCCAACCACCGTATGTGCAACCATCCCCTCTCAATGAGGTGCATTGCAGCCTGCAGCTCATCCTGGAAGTCCCGTATCCTGCCGCCTTACCCGCTGCGATGCCGGGCGTTCGTCTCAAGTAATATGAGGGGGGGAGATGAACTCTCGCCGGGATTGCCTGAGAGAGCGCTGGAAGGATTCGGATTGGACACCGCCAACGAGACTTTTGTTCGACGATGGGATCACCTTGGCATTTGGCAGACGTCAATCGAATCCTTCAAAAGTCAATTGCCGGCATCGGACGATGCGCAGAGGGCATCTGCGCTGGATGTCGGTGATTCGACTTGCATGCGACCGCCCCAAATAGTGCGTACGATAATCTTTTGCGACATCCCCGCAATTTGACTGGAATTCTGCAGTCGGTCGGGAAGCATTGGCTGTCTCGGTGATCGAGCACGTAGCCTGCTTGTCTCGGTTTCTGCACTTATTTTAGGTTCTCATGGAAGAGATGGACCAGATACTCAGGCGTGCTCCAACCATAAGATGAAGATGATAGAAGGGCGTCAAAAGGAGGTATGATATACTACCAACAGATGAAGAAGAACTGACCGTGTGGTTTCTCATCTCAACACTGATCTAAGACAGTCTCAGTCGAGCTTCTCCTTCCAAGCTTGATACTGGAGAGGCACGTAAACTGCAGCAAATGCTGCAAGCAAAGCCCCCAAGCCGAAACCCGAAGAGTCATCTGCCTTACATGCAAGATAAATGGCCACGATCGCCCAGATTACCACAAGCATTACGAGAAGAAGGGACAAGAATAAGTGCCAATTGAAGCGCTCGTTGATCCTGATGCCCCATTCGATAACTCTCGCACTGGTCCCTCGTTCGCGACGTAACGGACCTTGAAGCTTCTTCGGAAATGTTGTGATCCAGTAGTTGTCACTGTGCCGCACGCCGGGCTTTGTCAGATGCCACAATGGGATCGCATCAATCGCGACATCAGTTGGTACTGGATCGTACAAATACCTCTTCCCTTGGACTTCAAGCTCTGGGGGGTATTCCCCGCATCTGAAATGATGTGGTTTGGTCGTTTCGTCTCCCATGGGAACAAGTTGGAACTTTGTGTTTAGGTCATTAGTGACGATGTTCCATGAGCAAGAAGTGGTATTGGTTGATATACCTTCACGTATTCCCCAGTATGCATCTCGAAAAGACTAGCCCCAGACAGCTTTCGAAAGAACTGGAACATCCATTCCATCCAGCTCGGGGTTTTCTGTCTGAGAGAGGCAATTACTCTGCCTACCAATGCGCATACGAACGCTGGGAAAAGCAAGGGTATTCTCCAGGTTGATCCCTCACGTATTGTCCGATACCTTCCCAATATCTGTTGAAAGAGGTATTGGTCATTGGCGAAAGAACTACAGTCGATGTGATCTAGTACTGGCAGCCTCTTTTGGTTGACGCACAACAGCAAGTACTGAGGAATATTTTGTGGTCCTGGAGACAAGGCCACTTCCTCAGATCCAGACGTGTCGTTTACTGGTGTCGACGGCCCTTTTCCTGGCTGAGAATTGCTCGGTCCGGGGCTCTGGGGTGATGAAGTAGATTGGCCTCTCTCCGATCGGAGACGCACTGGAGGAGGGGCGGAAATACCACTCCGAGGATTGTCACCTGCTGTCGCGTCACCTGCTGTCGCGTCATATGTCATCGAATCGCTGGGGGTAAGCAGCCTGGCAAGTCCATCTCTTTCAAAGTGCTGCCGAAATCGACGAATCCCACCCGGGCTGAGCTCTTTGACGTCTAGAAACATGCGGTCGCCACATTCCTATAATGCCTAGTCAGTCAGTCTCGCTTCGATGATGTGGCTAGGAGGATAACAACGAGAGCTACTAACACAAGTGTACCGAACTCTCAGATACCCCTCTTTTGGTGGACACCATTTGTCGCAAAGCCAAGAGCATAGTCTGTCTTTCCAATAGACAATGTCGCAAAACCATCCAATCGGATTGGTCCTTATCGCTGGCTTTGTCTCCTTCTGCCCTTGACTCCCTGTCTCCTCCTGCGTCTCTACAACACCCTTGGCAGAAGGATGAAGAAACTCTCGAAACTCGGCTTCGAATTGTATGAGCGGTTTTCCAGAAACGAAATAGCTTCTAGCATCATCAAGATCAACGAAAGAGAGTCCTTCGTGATCAACTTCCTCGTTAACACTATCCACGGAATTCTCATCCTCGCCCCCTTCATCAGTATCCAGCGATGGTTCCACTTCTGCGATAAGCGCGGGTGTCTCAACATCTGAACGGTCGTCTACTTTGTTAAGAAAGTGTTCCAGGGTTAAGTCCCGCTCGTTTTCTTGAGGGAGGGTCATGGGAACTATCTCCCTCCTCGTGTTATCGAGGATTTTTCTTGAGACGAGAATTCTGTGAGACCTTGGTCTGAGGAAGTCAACAGCCTCGGCTTGTTTTTGGCTTGGGACTTGTGAGAGAAGTGAGAGATAGTATCTTCTGAGCAACCGTGTATGGTTCCGAACGAAGCGTGCATCGCCCAAACACTTACACGCTTTCTCATACAAGGGGCCGAGTTTGGAATCGCTGGTCAACATCTCGGCTAAGTAATTCGCTGCAGCTTCTCTGACTTTCCTGCGAGTTGAATGTGATCCATCTTGCGACTGAATATCCTCAGGTCCCGACGCGAGGGATATGATGTCGTCCTTGATGTCATCACCACAACTTTCAATCTGTTTGTGACTGTAGAAAGATTTTGCAATTTGCCTTGTTGTGTAAGCCTCGACAATGACACTATTGTCTTCTTCAAGCGACGACGGCTTCGTAGAGACGGAAAATGTGTCAGATGCCTGGCTAGATGTCTGGCTGGCCCTGCTGGAAGAGCTTTCGGTGAAAGCCGTTTGGGCGTTCTCGGGTTCAAGTGAGACGAAATTCGATTCGTCGAGGCGTTTGCGAATGTTGACTTCGAACTCCCCCTTTGGCTGACTGACGGCAACAATTTTGACATTATGAAGGTGAAATCCGGAAAGAAGAGGCATCATCGTTTCGATTAAGTCGCCCTGGTGGGCGCATTCGTCCAGACCATCGATTATCAGAAATACATTTTTCTCCCCGTGCAACATCGTCTGCAGGCCCCTGGAAAGCGTGTCTGTTGCTGGCTGCTTCCGTCCGCTATCGTGTGATGCGAAGATTTCATCGAGGACCTTTCTCGTTGGTTCCTGCTGCATATAGAGCTGAAACGTAAGAGACCGGTACATAGAGCTAGTACTTTGCTTGCATGTGCTGTCAAACTTGAAGGACAAGCTGATCCAACTGGGATCATCTATCTGCAATATGTAATCTTGAATTGTGTCGACAATTGCGGTTCTCTCCCCTCCTGGATGCCCTCGAATCCACAAAAGTTGATTATCTTCATTTTTCCACCTGTTGAAAGCAGGGCTGTCCTGAAACCATGCATGAGTTCCGTTGAGTTGGATGGTTCTCGCATGGTTGGAATTGGAAGATGCGTTAGTAGGTGAAAGCCACTTTTTTACTAGTTCGAAGTGGGCGGGCTTGATGTGATTCGGGACATTTTCCGCTGAAGACAGTTAGTTGGGTGATTTAGTTGGGTGATATTCAAGACTTGAAATCAGGACTTGAGAGATCACCTACTGTCATACAGAACGTCTGTGATTATCCTTTCCGCCTCCATGTTGCTTAGCGGGATTTGGCGAAGAAGGTCGCTCGCATATGCAGCAGCCGCCATGGCAGCGTAACCCTGCCACTCCTTGGACTTGTGGGAGTCGGCGTAGTCGCATATTCCACGAATGACTAAACACGGGAAGTCATTCATGAGACCAGCTGCTCCCATCTCAAAACATAATATGTCCTCGTCTGCCGCAAGCCGGTCCCGTGTACGTGCATCTCTCATAAGCTGGCTCGAAGAGCCGATTAGCCCGTAGTGAATCACTGGACTGTCCCCGTATCTCCCTTGTCCATGGCGCAGCTCCAGATGTGATGGACCATTTCCACACGCTTCGCCGCAGGACTCGCCTGATTTCTCGGCGTGAATGATGTGCGATTTGTATAGCTTGTCGGTGCTTGAAGGCGGGCGTGAGTACTTTTTCTGGAGCTGCGGGGACCTCTCCAGACTCTCTTTGATGTTGCCGTCAAGCAGATGACCTTCGATCATGTTCGTAGCTTCGAGTTCACTGACCGCCATGTCGAGTGCTTTTGGCAGCTGATCTATGAAACCTGTCTGAACAAAGCTCTGTGCCAGCGTTGCCATGCGTAAGTCATACTGAACGAACCCTCCTCTTCCACTGCGCAGACTACCGACGACAACGTCGCCGAGACGGATGTCATGCTTCAGACTTGGCGCACCGCCTGCAATGCCGACCATCAAGCTGAGCCGGATGTTGGGAAAGTGATGCAACATGTCCCCCGCGACGACCGCAGCTGATGCCAGACCGTACTTACCATTGGACAGTACGGCAATAGCGACATTATGTATGCCCACTCTGCCCAATGCGTAGCCATGGTCGTTTTGAGAGATCGTACTGGGAAGTTCGTGTGTTTCATCAAGGAAGGCAAGAGCTGCTTCGAATTCTGTAGGGATGGCGCAGATCCATCCGACATGGTATATCAGCGGGTCCGACATTTTGGGACACGAGCGGAATACTCTCAAGAATACTGGTGAGAAGCCCTAAAATTCGCGGTGAGAGTTTGAGCGGGGAAATGGTGAGACTTTAAAAAGAATAGGAAACCTGCAATTGCCTTGGACAGCAGCCTGACGCGGTAAGCTTGGGAAAGTGAGGCTGTGGCTGTCGTCAGACCTTGGGAGGCAATACTGGCGGTCTATTCGACCAATGTCATGCGTGTATGCACGTTGGGTCTGCTCCTTGTGACCGCTGGTAAGCCTGAGCTAACCACAATCGCTGAAGAGGTACCAAGGCCAGTTCCTGATAATCAATATGAGATTTCGTCGTAAGGCTCGAGCCCGGAGGAATTAGGGGTAGAGATGGAGCCATCAACGAAGAGTCTACAAATTGAAGAACTGCTCTTATATTCGAGATGGAACGGTTGTCAGGACCAGGGTATTGGTGCTAATTCAAAGCGAGGTATCGCAATCCGCGGAGCGCGCTGATGTCTCGCGGTGCTGCATAAAGAGTTGAAGCAAGGGGTCTACCGTCTGCCGAGGCGCCCGCTCTCTGTTGGTTGCCAACATATGATTCAGTGAACGTACTCGCTGGTGGAAAAGTACTATGTTATACTTCCACCTCTATGCCAAAGGCAGGCCTCGGATAGTACAAGGCCGTTGTCAGACACACCTCGCCGTTCTGTCGAGAATAGGCATCGTCGCGAGGAGTGTGCCGGACTTGTACCTAGTCAAGAAAACCAACGCAAGCCAATGAGAAGTGAGGCAGATAGTATGCACCATACATGCACACAGCGAGTTTACAAGGTGGGATTGCGTTCTCATTTGCTCTCCTCAACGTGCAGACCCTAAACCAGAACAAGGACAGTGCATCCTCAGATCGGCTGTACTTCTTGAGGGGCAGACGTGAACGCAAGGAATCGTCATGTCAGGTTTGTATACCTTCAATTTTCAGGCGACTAGCAGACGTTGCCAAGACACCCAAAACGACGTAGTAATCATCTGGGCATAGCCAGGACAATTTGCCTGTGTGACAATGGTGCAAACTCCAGGCGCAAAATGCCTAGACCAAAGAGGCAAGGTCGGACAGAGCCGTCGCTAATGGCTTCCCGAAAGCTGCTGCGGCTGAATCGATCGTTCAGGGGTAGTTTTCAGTGTCATCCCGATCGCTCGACGACTTTGTTTAAATCGTGAGTCTCGCCAAGAAAATACACGAACTCCATTGTCGTCGCTCTTCCATCCGACTCCGTGCACCTCCCGGACCACGGCCCCACCCGGCACCATGTCCGACTCCGGCACCTCCTCCGCGGACATTATCACCTACATCGGTGTGCCTCTAGCAGTGCTTGGCGTGCTGCCTATCCTCTACAATACCGTAGCAACTCTCGCCGCTCGCTCACGTATCCTGCGCATGCTCCGCCATGCCCGACTAACAGCGCTCACCCGCTCAGACGTCGTGAACCGTGTAATCGAAGTTGACTTGCCGCGTTATGCCGTCACGCCGTGGGACCGCTTCGACAACCGTGAAGAGTACTGGTCTCTCGCGCGGCATCCATCATCCATACCCGGTGGTAGCTGGACGGTGTTCAACTGGCGCACCAACACCATCGGTCTCAAGACCCAGCGGGTGGAATACGCAGACCAGCTCTGCCAGCCGCAGGTCGATGTAAGTTTCGACGAGTTGATATGCTATCTCCTTGATCTCGGCGCCGTCCCGGACCCTCACGGCTGGAGGTTACTGCGAAGCACCGGCCTATGGACTCCGGTGGGCTGCACTCTCATGAAGAGTCCCGATGACCAAGAGAAAGCCCTCGCCATCGCGTCCTTGAACGATTCTGATGGCCATCTGTCTCTGTCACTGAGCTGGTCTTCCCACTGGACGACTAGGAGTTACGAGTCCCTCCCTCCGTACTGGGTTCGCCTGCCACCCGCTCCGGTCATCGACTTAAACGGGATCTCGGAAGACACAATCACAGAAGAGAGGGACACCGAAACCAAAGACGATGCCGTCGCTGCCAAAAAGGCACCGTCTTACACCTCCTCGCTCGACTCCATCTCCCGCGCCGTTGCAACTAACGCGCACAAACCCATAGCCTGCAAAATTTCCAGCCACGGCCTCATCAGCGCCATCCCTGAGGACGACGACCACCCGACCACCAGCCTCTACATCGAGCACGTCCGCGTCCGCCCCGGTTCCTCCACGGGCATCTGGTTCGCCAGCGCCGCCACGGCCTACGGCACCTCGAGCTCGACGATCCTGTGGAACTACCGCATTCCAGACGACATTCTCGCATTTGCCCGCGGCTCTTCCGTACCGTGCGGCGTGTTGGAGCTGCTAGGCATCGTCGACGACTCGCAGACGCCAGAATGGGCCTCGAAGCATGACGACTCGAGGCATCACCTCGACCTGATGAGCCGCCGCATGCGCGAGCAGCGCAACGCCATGGCAGCAGAGTCGCGCATGAGCCAGGCTGACCGAGAGCACGCCGCGCGGGACCGCATGCGCATGGAGAACGAGCAACGACTGGACGATCGTAAGTTGCCCTTGCCAGCCCTATGAGCACCGCTAACAGCCTCCACAGTCCGCGATCGCATGCGTCTCGACACGCAACGCCGGGAAACCCGCGCCCACGAGGCGATTCAGTCCCCGAAATGGGACGCCGCGCTCGTCGCATCGCATAACCTCCGCTGGCTCCAGCAGCATGGCCTGGTCTCCTCGGACCCGATCAGCGGTTCCTTGCGAGCCGTTGCCGCAGGGCTCCTGCATCGGATGATCCTGGATGGCGAGTTTGCCGGCGAGATGAGCAGGATGCTCGACCAATGGAAGGCGTGGGCCGAGAACGGCGGCTTGCGCAAGTCGGATCTCGAGGCGCTGCGGGAGAGCCTGAAGAGCTTTGCGCTGGCGAGCTTGCTGGTTGCGGTGATCAAGGACGTCGGGGCCGCCGCGGAGGGGTCGTTGAGCATGGACTTACAGGAGTGTTTAAGGATGTGGCGGCAGGTAAGGCTGGGGTGATGCACTTTGGAGAAGATATGCAGAAAGAAAGATAGTTAAAAGTGAAGCAAGTCCATGAATCCTATCCCGCGAAGGTACCTTTGCCGTATTGTCCATTCCCTTTCCGACCCTCCAGTGCCATACAAGCCAATAATACAACTCCATCGCTGAAGCAATCCCGTCACCGCAAGTTACAAATGATTAATCTCTCAAAGTTCGTCATCCTGCTCCGAATCGTACACAATTTCTTCTCTCTCCTCCTCCATCAGCAAGCTGTCCGGCAGCATCTGGCTCTTGGTCAAAAGCTGAGACGAGTCCAGCTGGATGGTCCCCAGCGGCAGACGGATGGGGCTATCGTCCTCGTCATCGATGAATATCGGCATGCTGGAACCCGCTTGAGCCGGGCGCGGTACCGATCTGAGAGGTGACTGTGAAGGACTGGACGCCTGGCTTACGGTGGTTGCTTGGGAGGGCCGAATAGCGCGTCGAGGCGTGGGATTCGGTGGCCGGCTAATGGGCGTCGGAGGGAGTGCGGGCTTGGGAAAGAGCTCGGTGCCAAACGCCCTCCGGCTACGGGTCGGCGTCTGGCTCGCCGGTACCAGGATATCTGCCTCGGATGAATGTACGTTCGAGTGCTCGATGTCGCTTCGGATCTGCTCCGCCAGCTCCTGAGACACTGTGAGATCGGCTGACGTCCGTGGTGTCTCCCTTCTGCCAATCTCTGGCTGGGAAACAATCTCTTCCTGCGTCTCTTCATCCTCGCCGCCAAACAGCGAGCACCGCAGGTTGGCCATCAGATGACCAACGACTGCTGGCGGGACAAAGTTGTATTTTTGCGGCGGCCCGTTGAGCCACCCCTGCTCTTGCATCTCGTGCAGCGAGACTGGATCGTTCAGTTCGTACACTTCATGCAACTGGTACGCGAACTTGGCGCCAGGCAACTTGCGCTGGTTGAACTCTGCGTTGCCGATACCGTCGCCGTCAGTCTCGCCAGGCGCCTTTGCCTCACCAATGCAAGCCATGTACCTCAACTCTGCAACCGGCTTGGTGATGTACAGCCACATGCGCGAGACGGTGCCTGAAATCTTGTAGGCACGGAATTCGTGGTTTTTGGTACCCGCCACAATGTTGTCCATGTGTTCTGGGTGTATTGAGATGAAGATGTCAGATCTGTCCGTCTGGGGTGCCATGGAGCGGATTGTGTCCAGAGAGATTCGTTGACTCTCGAGGCCTTGTGTATGCGGCGTCTTTGGTGTCTCCTCTGGAGCTTTGCCCGTCTTCTTGGCCTTGGGCGTCTTTTGGCTTCTGGTTGGGGTCTCACAGATGGACTCTTCGACCGTCTCGTCAGATGCTTTGGGGATACTGGAGCCACTGCTCCGGGTCGGCTCTGGCGAAGAAGTAATGACTTCCACCGTATCCCTGCGATCCGACTCCCCCGATGTCGAATGGTGCAGCTTTGGTAGAACGAATGGCTTAGATAGGATCACCGTAGCTTCCTCCTCTTCCTCGCTGGCAGCAGGGGTGACGTTTTCCTTATCCGAGTCACCTTCCTCTGCAGGGGAGAGTTCCCTGGTGACTTCCTTCTCTGATGAGGTGAGAAGTTCATCCATTTGGAACTGAGTTTCTTCGCCGACGGCATCGTACCCCTCGGCCTCCTCGTCCAAGATGTCCAGCGCATCCGACTCATCCTCGGAATCCGCAATCTCACGGAGAGGTGATCTAGGCGGCCTTCGAGGGGATGGACTGACCTCACGCGCGTTTTCTTCATTCTCCTCATCTTCCGTCTCTTCTTCTTCCACCGGCACCAGACTAGCCGTCGGATGTGGCGTGATGAAGCGGACGTTCTTGGCAGGTTGTAGTGGCCGACGGGGAGACGACCGCTGACTTGGGCTCTGGCTGCCTACTGTCGCGTATGAGTCTTGAATCTCGAGAGTCCGCGGGCGTTTCACAGATCCTGTGAGTTTGATGGGCGTATTCGTGTTTGTAGACTTGTCCTTCAAGGGAGACCTCTTCGGGGCCGGGCTGTACCTAGCCAGCATCGGTGTAAGCGGGCTGCCTTGCGATGAAGGAATCTCGAGAACAGTCCGCTTGTTGGTTGGGGTCTGCGGAACGACGGATGGCTGCCTGCTCGTAGGTTTCTTTACAGGGAGAACGTTCTCCTTGTCGTTTGCTGAAGGGAGGACCGGCTTGTCAACCTCGTCGTCGGACGGCTGGAACTGCCAAATGTCTTCCTCCTCTTCGGGCGATTTCTCCGACGACCTCCGCGACATCTGCGTCAAAGTCTGCGTGTGAAAAGACGAACTTGGGGTCGGCTCATCCCCCATCGTCTTTCTCCTCTTCTTCTTGGGCGCGGGCTCTTCCTCGTCATCTGACAGGTCGAGATGCACAGGCGAGGAGCGCGTAGACTCGTACATCTGGGTCAACGTCTTTTGCTTGTGACTGGTGACTCGCGCGGTCGGCTTGCGGGCGCTGTAGGTGCGGACCTCGGTCTTTCGATGGGGGAGCTTGGCCTGCTTGAGTGGTTTGCTGGACTTGTAGATTCGGTCGGGAGGGGCAGCAGGGGCCCGGCCGCCGGAGCGAGTTTGCGCTGGCATGTTGGGCGTGATCGTCACGAAACGGCGAATCTATGCCGGATAGTCAATCGTTCGTGTATATTCGACAAATTCTTGGGTGCGCAGGAGATGTCCGCCCGCGATGTGCATGCCGACTAGTCCCTGTGCGGCGTTGAGGTCGCGTCGCGTGTGGGTGGAATCGCTTTACGCGTGGTGGCGTGTGGGAGTGACATCACATGCAAATAGCGGGGCACTGAGCCGGGGTCCTCCGGTAGGTGCATCACGACGGCGACATCACACTTTTGATTTGATACATCATGAGACGAATTGACTTTATTTCATTCGATCATTGGTATGATGGACTAAGGCTCATTGATTGGAGGAGTAGTTATTATTTGGAATATAGTCTATGTGCCGCATCTGCTAACGGGCGCATCCTCCACAGCAATGTCGATCTTGTAGCCAGCAGTCGCGTCTCCCAGAGAGAACAACTTGAATCAGACATGCCCAACAGTGTTGATTGTTAGACCATTTAGGTCTGATTGATACTTGATTATCATTTCATCATATCATTATCTCATAATCCCATTAGTTCCTAGGCCGAGCCTTTCTCAAGACCACCCTCATGTTTGCGCAGCTCCAGACTGGCACATGAAGGCAGCCTTTTATCCTTTCATTGAATGAGCGTGTCTCCTAGACCAGAGTCATGAATTTTTTTGTTGTGTGGTGAGCTCTGTATTGTGTTGATGAGTCGTGAGACCGGTCCTGAGAAACCTTTCGTGGACTCGTGCATCGTGATTCGTAAGTTGTAAGTCATAAATCGTGAGTCGTAAGTCATAAGTCGTAAATTAGAGATCGTAAGTCATAAGTCGTAGATCATAGAACGCAGGCCGTAAGTCGTCAAGTCGTGTACCGTCAAGGTGTGGTTTTTTCTTTTTTTTTTTGGGTTTTTTTTTTAAGAAGTGAGCCTGCTTCATGGCCATGGGATGTCTGGTACCCTTGTCGCCGTACGTTCTTGTCAAAGGAGATTCATGGAGAATCCTCAGGTCAACTGGGGCTCGGATGCCCGTCAAATAGCAGGGGCCGGCCGGAGTTGCGCGCCTTCGCAGTGTTAGTGAATGGAAGACATCCAGTAACTCCCCAATGTCTGCTTACCACTGATACGGCGCAGAAGACGTCTAAACTTGGATTCCGTCTTCGTTGAGGCGTCAGAAGCGACTGATGCTACTGCAGCCTTGGCCATCGCTCTGTAGTGAGCCTCGACATAGTCATTAACAAAGTCTTCGAGGTCGACATCGTTGATAGAGAGGTCGCAAATGTGTTGTATGTAGTAGCGATCCTTGGCCTCGCGTCTAAGCTCTGTGAGCTGGGCGCTAGAGAGGAGTTCAGAACGGGGAACAGAAAATTCAGACATCTTGTTGATGTTAACGAAGCTTGGCAAGGTAGTCATGTGAAGTGAAGAAGCGGAAGTCAGAAAATGTTGAAATCAAGAAATTCGTGTACGGATGATGAAGAGAATGAAGAGCTGGGACGGAGGATTTGGGACAAGTCGCAGTATTATATACCATCCAAAGCTGGCCGGACATGGACTCACTTTACATTGACTTTCTCACTGACAGCGGCACACTGACAGTTGCTGAAAGTGTATGCATACCCGATACAACTTGAGGACCGAGATGGTGTGGTTAGACCTCACGGTATGTATGGGGAAGTCCTCGGTGTTCCTCAGCGTCAAAGCAACATCCAACCCGTCAAAGTGTCCGCAAGAGAGGCATCAGCCAAAAAGGTGGAATTGAGCGCAGCAAGGTCAAAATTGAAAAGAAAAAAAAAGAAAAAAAAAAGAAGAATAACGAACAAAACAGAAACAACTCTACTCTCTTGCCTAGCCAGTAGCAAAAGACAATTGAGATAAAAGTTCAACAGCTTAGGTTAAGCGTTCTACCTTACTGGGCCTGATTCCCGAGTGCACTGACGCTCCGAAACCACGGTGACGAGACCAATTGACCAGACGAAGCTTCAACCGATGACCTTGAGAAGCAGGATTGCCTTTTCCCGTATGCGACCAACCGGCTGATCGAACGACTTTGTAAACTCTTTGCATGTCATAAAATGAAAGGTTAGCCACGAGATTTCACACGCACACATCAATAGTGCAACGCGAAATGGTTGTACAAAAGGACTCTAGCGCGGTTAGTTATATACACATCAGGACCTTCTGATTTATTTCTTGGGCTCCTCCTTCTTCTCCTCCGGCTTCGGTGTGGGCAGCTTGAAGCTATCCGGGCGTCTGTCCGTGCCGGCTCCGACCTGCTCCCACGCGCTAGTGCCGCCCTCAAAGTTGCGGAACGCCTGAGTGAGCTCGAGAGGCTCAGTGACAATGCGCTTCTTCTCCTCGTCGTATCTGATCTCGGTGTAACCGGTGAGGGGGAAGTCCTTTCGCAGGGGGTGGCCCTCGAAACCGTAGTCGGTCATGATTCTGCGGAGATCGGGGTGGTCGGTGAAGTAGACACCAAACAGATCGTAAACCTCACGCTCATACCAGTTGGCACCGTCGAAGAGAGGCGTGACACTGGGGACGGGGGAGGCCTCGTCGGCGTAGGTCTTGACACGGATGCGGGCGTTGTGGCGGACACTGAGGAGGTTGTAGACGACCTCGAATCGCTGGTCTCGGGTCGGGTAGTCGGCAGCGGTGATGTCGCTGATCTGGGTGAACTCGGCCGAGGTGTTGTCTGTGTCGTGTTAGTAGGAACCCGCAACGCCACCTCCAATTGGTACTTACACTTCAGGAACGAGAAGAGGGGGATAATTCCCGAGGGAGAGACGTAGATGGTGAGCTCGTCCTTCCAGACGGAGATCTGCTGGACGTACTTGGGCAGGCAGCCCATGATCCAGGATCCGTACTTGTGCATGTTCTCAGCCTTGGAGCCGTACTTGTCGGCCGGGTTGACGAGGGGGGCCTTGAGGGTGCCAATGTGCTCGCGAGGAGACTTCCTGACGTCCGCGACGTCGGGCTGGCCGGTCGGGAAGCCGGCCAATTGAGGGATCGAGGTCGAGAAGCATCGAATCTTGGTAGGGCGGCAGTTGCGCAAGCCCGCCAGAGCCCTGCTACGGTATAGCCTCGTCGCCATTGTCGCGGTTCTTGCAATGCTGGGGGGCTCGATGCCTCTGTGGGAGTTGATTGATGATGCTGTGCTTCTGCGATGCTTGGGGATTGAAAGAAGCTAGCCGGATTAGGCACACCCGGGGTGGGGTTAGCCCGCTGTTTGCTTCACCAGACTCTCACTGTACCTGACGTGCCTCGAAGGACTTTTTTCTTTTAACAACAACAAACGCAGACCCTCGAAAAGACTTTACCTTTTCACAAATTCAAAAAACAGCAACCACCTTGTGGATTTGTTCTTTCACAAATTTTCCCACAACACCATCCTGCCCTTTCCACACCTTCATCCTCCATTCTACCATCACTTACTGCCGCTATCCACGGACAGGGTGTGCCTAGCAGCTGCTGACTCGCCTCATTCAGAGTGTTGTCATTGGCTCCAGGCGCCTTCAGAATCACGTGAGGCTGCCTCACGTCAACCGGCTTACCTAAGGTGCTAGCGCAGCAGGCGACCCATCCGAGAAAGGCTTTGGCTTCATCCGTATTGAACAACTTCCCTCTCCTGACTACCTCCACTCACAAATCGACGACTACCCTCCCGCAACACATCATTACCCCCCGCAGACTGTCACCATGGCGCCCCAAGACACATTCTTCGACGAGGAGGAAGATACCTGGTATGTCGACCCCTGCCGTCATTGCGCGCCGTTCGAGATGGCCGCACGCCTGCAGTTGGGCACCACGAACTAACTTGCCTCCCAGCCCGCTATGCATCGAGGAGTTCGACCTGTCAGATCGGAACTTCCGACCATGCCCATGCGGTTACCAGGTATGCCGTCCGATTCCCCGATGCTATATTTTTTTTTTCCATCGTCAAAGGCCGATCTCTGACAGTTTCATAGGTGTGCCAGTTTTGCTTCAACAACATCAAGAACAACATGAATGGCCTGTGTCCCGCTTGCCGCAGACCTTACGATGAGAAGACGATAGAGTGGAAGGTCGTCACCCAAGAAGAGTGCGTTCCTCCCCCACCCTGCCTAGCGACGCCACGCTGACAACTACTTTTTAGGGTCGCCCAGTTCAGAGCCAACATCCAAAAGAATCAGAAGAAGCGAGCTCAAGAACAAAGACAGAAGGAGGTCCAAAAACGCGAGGCCGAAAAGGAGAACCGCAAGAACCTCGTCGGCGTGCGGGTCGTTCAGAAGAACCTGGTTTACGTGACCGGTCTGACACCTACAGTGCGAGAGGACGAGCTGCTCAAGACGCTGCGCAAGCCCGAATTCTTTGGCCAGTACGGCAACATTCAGAAGATTTCGATCAGCAACCGAAAGAGCCAGGACGGCCAAAACCAATCACTCGGCATTTACGTGACGTTCGAGAAGAAGGAGGACGCACAACGGTGCATCCAGGCCGTCAACGGATCCCAGAACGGCGACCGTGTGCTTAGAGCTCAGCTCGGTACGACCAAGTACTGCTCCGCCTGGCTGCGACACGAGCAGTGCACAAACAGACAATGCATGTTCCTGCACGAGCTCGGCGACGAGGAGGACAGCTACACTCGACAGGACCTGTCATCGATGAACAGCATCAGCTCGCAAACGCAGCGGCCCCTTGCTAGTGGATCATCAAACAGCGGTGGAAACAGCGGTGGCGGTCCCTCGCGGTCTGCTTCTCGACAGCAGAACACCCCCGCTCCCACCATGTCGCAACCCATGGCCCGCTCGTCGAGTAAAGAGGGATCCGAAAACGGCGGTGATGGCTCGGCGCTTCCCTCGTCGGCCAACTGGGCCAGGAATCCTCAGCGCAGTCGCAGAGGAAGCCACGCCACGAGCGGTGCCGCCTCCAGCCCCGCCATCTCGACATCGCTCCCCGTAACCGCCGAGGCAGTACCCGAGGCCATTGATGAGACGCCGTCAAGAAAGGAGACTCCCGCACCCCCGAC